GCCATGGCCCGGCGGAGCGCGCTCTCCATCCGCATCGTGGAAGGGAAGAACCTGCCCGCCAAGGACATGTGAGTGTCCCCCCTGGGAGGGCTCGGGGTGGGAGGGGGGTATCCCCTTGGAGTGCTCGGTGTGTCCCCCCAGCAGGTGGCTGTGCTGGGAGGACAACCCCCCCAGGGTGGGTTTTTGGGGTGTCCTCCCTGCTTTGGGGTTTCAGCCAGAATGGCTTGGGGGGTCCCCCCAGTACCTGTGCTTTGGGGGTTCCCTCCAGAGTGGCTTTGGAGTCTGCCTCGAGCAGGGCCTGTGCTTTTGAGGTTCCTTCTAGGATGGCTTTGAGGTTCACAAGCAGGGGAGGTTCTCAGGGTGGCTTTGGGGCCTCCCTTGCATTGGAGGCTTCTCCCAGGAAAGCACTGGGATCACCCCCCAGCAGCGTGTGCACTTGTGAGGTTTCTTCTTGGGTGGCTTTGAGGTGCCCTTGCATTGGGGGTTCTCCCCAGGGTGGCTTTGGTTGTCCCTTTCTTTGGGTGCTCCCCCTGGATGGCTTTGGGTTCTTTGTGCTCTGGGAGTTGCCTCAGGAGTGTTTTGATACCCTCCCCCGTGCCTGGGGACACCCCCTGGGGTGGGTTTGAGGTTGCCCCTCATGAGCACTCAGTGCTGTGAGGTGGGGTGTCCCCAGCAGTGCCCACACTTTGTGGGGCTCCCCCTGTGCTGCCCTGGGACAGGTCTGTCCCTACACCCCCCCCCATCTGCAACTGGGTTCTTTTCAGGGACCCCCAGAAGGAGCAGGGGTACCCCCTGTCACCACTCCAATCCCAGCCCAGCTGGGCTCCAGGGGGCTCCAAATTATCCCCCTGACTCAGGCTTTGCCTCCTCAGCAGCCCCCCCAGGGCTGCCCATGTGTCCTGGCATTATCCTCGGATCCCTGGGGGGTGGGATGTGGGGACAGCGCTGGGGTGGGACAAGGGGATGGCACTGGGGTGGCCAGAGAGGCAGCAGAAGGTTCTTGAGGAGCTTTTAGCTGCTGGGCAGGGTCAGGGCTGCAAGAAACCCAGCAAAAATCCCTGCAGCCGTCATGGAAAAAAAAAGAGGATAAACAAGGAAAGGAACATGACTTTTTTTTTTTTTCTTCTTTCTTTATGTTGTTTTTTTTTTTAATCCCCCGTGTCAGCGCCTGATTTTTCAATCCCTTGGCAGAATTCCCTGCCGGGAGCTCGGACCGAGCAGGAGGAGGCTCTGGGGTTTTTTCAGGAAGCTCCGTTTTTTGAGGAATGTCACAGAAAAGGTGCCGGGTGATGGAACCCCGGGTTGAGCTCTCCAGACGGGAGGTTTAGGGACACAGCTTTGGACAGGGAGAGTGGTTGCTGCGGGGAAATCCCGGGAAACCCGAGCTCCGGATCCGACATCCTCACCCTGCAGCGCCTGACCCTGTGTCTGGCTGCCACCCCCCTCCCTTGGGAATGGGGGCTTGGGGAGATCCGGTTCCCCTGCCCTGCCCTGCACAGCCTTTGGGATCACTGCTGGTTTCCCCCAGGGAAAAACCCTCCCGCAGGGTGTTAGTGCCACGCACGTTTGCAGGGCAGACCCTGTTTGCGGGCACCCGTGGGTGATGGGGCACCCCCAGATCCCCCCCCCCC